ACTTTTTGATATAATTTTTGAGAAGGGTTCATTAAAAGGGTCCTTAAGAAAAAATAAAATGAATTCTGAAATTTTGCAACTGTCAGCAGATTCTCAATATTTATGGTTGGTGGCCTTAAGTGCTTTGCATTGAGTTTCAGAGAGAAAAGTAGAGAAACTTCAACCTTCAATACAAAACTGCTCTATGATCAAATTTGACTGCTTCCCAAATGGACAATGAGCATATTCCCTCTTTCTCATTCAATCATCAGAGTTAAAGAACTTCAAGAAAAAAAAATCACTCCTCATTGTATGAAAACTCCTAACCAGAACCACACTGAAAAGGGGGTTCTAAGCTAAGAGAGGAAGACTGCTTCTCCACAAGTCATATGGTGTACTTGCATTCTTACTTATGAATGACCAAAAGATCAAATTTATGAAGGCTTATCTGTAAATAACATAGGTTACCTGTTCTGGAACCTGAACAGGACACGTCAGAAATTGGCACCCTAAATGACCGTGTTCCTCCCAAAGGTGTGTGTGTTACCACCCTTAAATTGTTTCCTTGAAGGACTAGCCGGTTTACACTCCTGTGATGGCATCATACAGTTGTATACAAATATCAAAACAAAACAAAATTTTGATTAACTCATGTTAGTCCTATTTTAATCCAACTTATAGTAGAAATCATGATTTTTCAAAGTTACCTGCACAGCTACAATGCTTACAGCTCAAAAAGTTCACAATACATATACAGTAGTATCAAGAATGATTTAAAAAAACGACTTTTCCATTATATCAAATGCACACATTAAATACCTGAAACTATAAAGAAACCCTGATGTGGTGAAAAACAGTCCCATAACCACAGCAATACCAGCCAGTAGTGCTGGATTATCCTGTAGATTGTAAACAGATGGATTGGAGCATGACTTCAAGCCTTTATCTCAATTAACATTAATTTTTCCTGATAGTCAATGCAATTCTCCTTGTCAGTACCATGGGAAATGTTTAAGGGACAGTATGGAGAATATGCATACTGATGTAAGGGTGCATTTAGGGTAAATATTTGTGCTGTTTGACCTAAGATATGGGTTTCAATCCTCACCACTTTATTATGTTCTATTCTTAGGAAAGTGAGTAAGACACTTCTCTTCCAAATTCCCTCCTTCCCTATTGATGATTATTTCTAAAAATTATCTGCATCAGTTCAAAGAGAGTCTAGCTGTGGATTCTTATAACTGACCTGCATAAATCTGACGATTTTCCATGACCCTCCCGCCCTTGTTGCGACATCAAGAAACTCATCTTGGTTTCTGTTCCTTTCAAGATTTACAAGGTCAACCAATTTTACTTGACTTATGTTGAAATAAGCCATCCATGACCAAAATATGAACTGGCTAGCACAAGCAAGGCCAACCAGACGGAAGAACTTCTGACGATTGTAGTAATAGAGGGTCACATCTTTTACGTCTGTTTCTTTCTTCTTGGCAAAGGATGAGAACCTCGCTTTCCTTAGGTTCTGAAGATACTGCAAAATTGATAACACAGTAAACCCGAATGCCTCTATTTTCATAAATACCTCAGCCTGAAGTAATTCAATTTACAGACGCAAATATATAAAGATCTCCCTTTTGTTAAAAACTAAACCAATGTAGATTAGAGAACACTACGCTGAGATTTTTGTTCTACTTTTGCTGTTTTCATAAATATCCAATGGTTTTAACTGTAAGAGCTTTCCTGAAAACAGGTAAAGGCATGAGAAATGACACAGAAGGTGCTATCTCGATACAACACCGAAATAATTTCTGAACCAAATGACAAAGAAATGTGGAACACAAATGGTAAGATTTCCAAAGCGAAATTATCACTTCAGCTAAAATGCGAGATTTTAAATACCTTTAAGCACCTTACACAGCGTAAGAAAGAGACTGACGGTGCCTTTCTTTGAAAAAAGGAAATAGAGAAGAGAAACATTGGGGGAATTTGGACAAGATTGCTCAGCTATCCGCCATTTTGAAAGTTATCTAGTGCCAGACTCCACGTTGGTCCACCGATGACGAAAATTTTGGCCACCATGCTCCCTAGAGCGCGGGGTTGTGGTGGTGGGAGCGGGGGGGGGAAAGGGTTGTTAAACCAATTAATTATCAACTCATTTGAGAAAGCCAAATCATCTTGTAATAACCCCTACCGACGCAGCAGCCCAGTTTAAACTTACCCCCTCTATTACAATCTTAAACTAACGCCCTCTTAGCTAACCCCATCTTTCTTGGACTTAATCTCGCACGGGCTCACTTCCCGAACAGCGGTTTGCAATAGCGCCTGAGGTTTCAGTAGCGTGAAGCATAGGGTGTTTCCGAATTGTGCCTAGGAAAAAGGTAGAGACATCATGGGAAGACTTTATGACAAATTCTTAACTTGAAAAATAGAGATTTGTGCATTCAGTTTTTAAAATTTTCTCCTTTTGGTACAGGAGCAGTTTTTTCGCGTTTGTTGGCGGCGTTGATTGTCTCTACATATTGCGTTGCTGGTGAGGATTGCCTCCCTAACGACACAGACTGTTGTCTTTTAGATGGTAATAACGTAGCGGTCTGATATGTTTAAGAGGAAAACTTGAGCGGGAAGCCAAATATGCTAGCGTAAATAGCTTCGAAATCACAAATTTGGGGTAAAAAGTTGTTCTTTTAAGCCGCTTCCTATCGGAAAAACGTGCCCCTTCCTTGTAAATACTATATCATTGGTCATTTGAGATCTTCTCGTTTGAATCCTAAAATAATTTTAACATGCCCTCATTGTTTTAAAAGAACACATTTCAGATTGAAACTTAAGTGGTTTTTGCCTCAGGAAACATTTAATTGAAATGTATATTATAGATAACCAGGTAAGACCATTGAACGTGATCTTGAATTGAAGTTCGTGCTAACCTGATAATTAAAGAAATTTGAATGTCGTTCGATTCAAATTTATTCAATGGCTCGAAAAATAGATTAAAAGCGAACGCAGCAACGAAAAAGTTTTAATCTTAGTCTGCATAGAAAGCACTATTTAACACTGAACGCGTTTTTGAGAATATTACTCGTGCTGAGATAAAGTCTTCAATGCATTAAATTTCTCGAAGCCGGCAATTGAATCACGATACGAAAAAAAGACAATCGCTCTCTCTCTCTCTCTATCTCTCTCTCTCAAAAACCGGAAAATTTGCTTTGTGATTGTTAGTTACATTGAGAAGTAATTAAAAAAAGAAATTTCAATTGAAATGTCATATATGTCAACAACAGTCAATATAGATGGATAAAAAAGATTTCAAAGAAGTCCTTCTGCAAAGTGTTCTTCCAAGTAATTAACTTCACTTCGGTTCACCCGTTTCCACCTGACATGCAAATTGTGAAGTGTGAAAAAAAAAAATTTGCGGAAAGACGTCAGAATGAAATCTAGAGGTTTCGTGTTCATTGAGATTTTTTTCGAATGATTCACAGACTAATTTATTACATTTATGAACCATGTAATTAAAATTTCCTTTTATTCGAGGTTACAAATTGCATATTTCATTACGCAGTCGGTGGGATGACACCTTCTTAAACAGATTGAAGAACTCACAGAAGAAAAGAAAACCTTTGGGATTTCCCAGCAAACTATTTACTTGGGGGAGCTTGTTTACAGTAAAAACGAAGTCAGTTTAAGATGTTTATTGGTATTGGAACTAAATGTAACTAGCCTAATGGCGGGCTGGCGGGAACGTGTAATAGTTTTGAGTTCTTTTGCTAATAATTGCTGATGTTCGACCACACTTGGGGGTTATCTTTTCATGACATAACTCTGCAAACAAGGCATCAAAATCTTGTTAGAGATTCTAATTACCTCCAGTGACAGTCCTGGAGCCTCAAACCATAGCTCAAACCACCGTCAAAGTGGCTTATATTTGCAATAACAATCCGAGATGAAAGTTTTCAATGCTGACAATTGATAAACATAGTTGACGATTATGGCATCCGGTATAGGAAGGAATAAAAGAGAGGTTTTAATCAAACAGAACCGCCACAATCTGGTTTGCGGTCAGCTTTCGATTCGTGCGATCAGAATTTTCATCGCACTGGAAAATCATCTTGCCCTCAAGGGAAACACGTCTTAAAGATATCTCAAAAAAGTTACAAAATCTGAAACAGAATATCAAATTTAAAATCATGTTAATGTTAATTTTATCTGTTTAGACAAGATTCCGGAAGAAGCTGGCGTATTCTTTTCATTTTAAAAGTATTTGAGCTTCGTTCTAATTTGATGTGGATCTGTCTTCAGTCTCTACGAGAAGAAACTTAACTGTGTGTTTACGTGGTGAAGGCTGAACAAATCGCTTCAAAAACGGAAGATACTGCAAACGAACTGAAACGATCTCCAAACTATACAACTGGACGTAAGTTGATTGTAAGTGATAAAAAAAAAAAACATTCGCTTCGTTATAAAGTGGTGAAAATCCATTGTTATTGAAAAGCCAACAGGATATTGATAGCAAAAGGAAAAAGAAAATATCCAGCTTTTAGACATAAAAACGTCACTGGTTACAAACCGAGTCATGAATTTGAACAACAGCACGGCCATGACTGTAGCTGTCAATGCGGGTGGCTCGGCGAGTTTGCCCCACAGTTTCTACTTTGTTACAGCAACTGTGCTAATACTTATTATCATTACCGCCATCATTGGAAACATATTGGTGTGCGTGGCCATTCTTGTCAATAACCAGCTCCGTTCATCGCCCACCATGGTTTTCATTTTTTCCTTGGCTGTGTGCGATTTGTTGACTGCTTGTCTCTCAATGCCTTTCGACGTGAACCAGCAGCTCACCAACTTCAAATGGACATCTAGCGAGGGCCTCTGTCAAGCCTGGACAACTGCGTACCTTATCACTGTGCCCTCATCCATTTGGAACCTTCTGGCGGTAAGTGTTGACCGGTACAAGAGCCTTAAGGACCCCTTGAGCCGCTATAGACAAAGTCCCTTTATGACGCGTAAGCGAGCGGCTCAAGTAGTTGTGCTCCTGTGGATTTACTCAGCGGTTTTCGCTCTAGTACCTGTTATGGGATGGAAGTACAACCCAGCAAGTGTCAGAAATAACTCATGTTACTTCAACATAACAACAAATTACTCCATATTGAGCTCATTTGTAAACTTTATCTTCCCACTCCTGGTCATGTGTTTTTTGTATTTCAAGATATTCATGATAGCTCGAAACATAAACAAAGAAAAATTTGCCCAACCCAACAGTCGCTCATGGGGGAGATTATCCAACGAAGCTACTTCAACGGAAGACGTTTTTAAAATCACCAGGCGCAATAAGCGAAGTGACAAGAGAATCAAACAAAACATAAAAACTGCTAAAAATATCTTGATCATAGTTGCAGCCTTTTTCCTTTGTTGGATGCCCCACACGCTTCTCAGTTTAACCATGATTTTTCACGGGGTTGAGATGGCGCATAAAATTCCCTCAGAGCTTTTCACAGTCTTCTTGCTCCTGGGATATCTGAACTCCGCTCTAAACCCACCTCTGTATACATTCCACAACAAGCGGTTTAAAGAAACCTACTTGAAATGCCTCGGGCTCCAGAGACAAAAGACTCCACCTCCAAACCGTTTCTCGAACGTCACGGCCTTGAGCAACATTGACTCGAACCATTCGGGGTCTCCGACGAAAAACATGGACAATGAACAAAACGTGGAAGAACTTGTTGACATTGAAGAAAATAGCGTGTAGAGTCTAACTTTAAGCAGCCGCCAAACAAGGGATTCTATTACAAATCTACTGGTAGTTCTTTCTCTGGTTCTGCCCTAGAAAATTACCTAGTTATTATCAACAGTATCAGCTGTACAAGATATAAAAATGACTTAGTCGTAAAGGCTACTCCTTGAGAGACAAGCTTTGATATTACAGAACCATATTAAAACTTTTGAAACGGTAAGTTTCTGAAGCTTTGCATTTAGTACCATTTTTCATCCATCCCATGAGAGAAAAATAGTTTCTGAGTATGAAATAACACTCTATTTTAGAAGAACTAACTATATAGTATAGCGAACTCATAAAGCAGTTGAAATCATAATTTAATCGACTTGGTCTCAATTTGGTCTTGACTTTTCATTGAAATGTAGGTATGTCACACTTGTACTTGTATAATTATCATCTACAGACACTTGACATGCATAATTTGCTGATAATTCTGAAATTAGAGCCGATATTTCCTTTGCCCTCTCAGTTTCCTGTTATATCTTTAAAACACATTTTGTTTTCATTAAAGCCCTACAAAACGTTTTCAAAGATCGATCATGGTTGCCACGGTATGGGCGGTTCTATTAAAGTTGTTACATAAAAAGATAAAAAAAAAACATATTTGTTATAACCGGCAGAGTTCCTTTTTATCTGGAATCATACCGCCCCCTGAAGCACCCATTAGTAAGATAAATACAAAAAGAAAACAACCTATACTGCCAAATAATAATGCTCAAATCAAGCTTTCCCCTCTCTTTTTAGGCTCGAAATTGGACAGAGTCTTAAAATCAGGATCAAGAGTCATCGAAGGACTTTGATAACTTTGCATCACCCGCCGTTTATTTATAGATGTTAAACGCAGTATCGATTTGTGTTAGTAAATAGTGTGCATGCTGTGGTTTAATTTCAACCTAAATGTTCAAATCGTTGTACAAATTTATTTCTACCCATCAATTATAAATTACTGTGTCCTGGGAACCAAGAAAACTGAACTTTGAAGCTGGAATAGAAATTGAACGAAACTTATACTGATTATCCTCGATACTCTCCAAGTACAATACACGTGGATGCATTTTAGACACAAATGGTTACAATAGCAGAAAAAAAAACTAGAAAAAACATGGATTTTGTCTCTCACAACAAGTTACGTTTATTGTGATGCTGATTTAGGAGATCATTATCAGATCGAGCAGAGGAAACCAATCTTTCAAACAAAGCTTACGCCAAAATTCTCTTTAGACAGGCCCTAAAATTGCGAAGGGATTCTTGTTTTGAAACTGCTAGTATTCCAATCAAATCAATCATACAGACAATGTTGACAACCAGCTGCTTTGCGCTGCTGTATTGAATAAAAGGCATTTTTAGGTGATAGTGCACTTTAACAGATGAAATGAAATGTAAGATTCCATAACAGGAAATAGAAAGCGTTTTCGGAAAAGACTGTATAACCTTCTCGGAAAAAAAGAAGGTGAGACAAAAATTGTAACTTTTCTTTGTTTAGCTGCATAAAGGTACAGCCTACTGGAACGCATAAATTGGTTACTTTATATACTGAATTGTGGTCTACGCAATATCAAATTTTTAGACGGAAATTCAGTATGGAATGTTTTTGGTACTCATACTCTGCCATGTCACTTCTAGCATAGCGTAAGGCAGGATTTGCTCTTCCTAATTCAATACTTTGTCAACAATGTCACAGAATACAGATTTTAAAGTCCCAAAACTTCGAAACTGATGCGGGCTTTTTATACCTTAATAGCTCTGCGCTTTTTTTTAATCTAAAATACAGCTGATGTTTTTTGTTTGAACCAATGATAACGCACTACCTTTCAGACTTGACCCCAATGTGTGCATAACCTCTCCCAAGTAGCAGAACATCAAAAATAAAAATAAAAAAAATTGCATCAGTCTGTCCAGTTTGCGAAAGAAGTCAACTTGAGGATAACTTGTGTTTCGTGGTCATTCTTAAATTTCTCCTGTGTGGCCTACACTGTATAAGTACCCAGTGCTAAGAGGAGAAACTTATTTTGATAGATTTTAACACTTAGATGTTACATTTTCATTTTCCCGTCTTTAATGAACGGACGTGTCATGATATTTCCGAGATATATATCTGCAGTAATTATTCGTCTATCGCTACTGTTACAATAACTTTTATCTCTGTAATTTGGTTGTATGAATGGAGGCCGGAACAGGCGTTCTTGTCTCTAGCTGTCGCTGAATCCTTATTCTTGAAATATCCTCTGACCGTGAATCACAACATTTCAGTTTGAGTCGTTAGTTAATTTCGGTGGCCGGGTGCCCTATCCAGCTTGTGTTGTCAATTAATAAAACTATTTTAATTAAAAAAAAAATACCTTCGGGATCCAAAAGGGCTTCAGAAATACGTGATGTATACCCAAAATATTACCAGATAATATAGAAAAACAACTACTGTAATTTGCTTGGGCCTGAGGCTTAAAATGCTGAAAGTTTTCGTGATCTATTTGCACCTTAAATTGTATTTCTTTATAAACATGAACACATTAGCTAACAGAGTTGAAGAACTATTGTTGGAAGTACTAAACTCGAGAGACGACACTTCACTTATAAATATATATTGCGACTTAGTGGTTGTCAAATTATCTCCAGTATACGGGTTATTGCCTAACTGAAAATTCAAGTTAATAGAAAGAAAAACGTTAATCAGAAAAAAATCAACACATTTACGAGTAAACGAAACTTAAAAAAAAAAAAATACATGAAGAAAAAAATAAGAAAAGGTTTGTTTAAAATTAAGGAATTTTTTCTGACAATTTTATGATTCAGCAGTGTTTTGAAGATAAATTGTTTTTTATATGCCGCGCGCAAGACGTTCACCTTTTCAATACTGCACAGCTTGATTAATTGAATGATTTCACCATTTTCAAGTGTTTTTTGTACATAATGCTGTCGGCAAGAGTTAAAATTAAAATCAAAGGAGTATTGTTCGAAAAGTGACTGAAATTAATATCGCTTTGGGAAACAATATTCTGACGTTTTGAATTCAAAACCATGGGAAGTCTTTCGATTCAAGCTTGTTAAAGCATTAAAAAATTGTCCTCTTTAGAATTGGAGAAGTTGTGTAGACGTTCTTATTGAGCGAAAAAAGCGCCAAGTTGCACTTGGTTACAAAGAAGGAGGTGTAATAACTCGTGGACAATATTATATCGGAATTAAGATGAGATTAAAACATATCTGTGGATGTCAGACAAACAATGAATGCTATAACGTGAGGGTTGCCTAGCTCTAGCCTTGAGGTATGGTCTTGCGATATCGCCGGTGTGCTGCGATTGGTGTCGCTTTATTAAACTGGTACCGTGATCGATGATTTTCACTCATAAACGTCAGGCTGGAGGATTATCTGTTGTGTAAGTCGGACAGATGGTTTCCTCCAAAACATCGATTCGTCGCCTATTGTCCCTCATTGCGAAACAATCACCGGAACAACTCACTAATAAACGGTAATAAATTGATGTTATCGTCAATTTTGTTCTCTGAACAGGTCATTTATTTGTGAGCAGTGCATATTAAGAGGTTGCAGTCAAGAACACCTTGGCAGTTTAATGTCAAACTCAAAAGAGTAGAGCTGGTTGTGGACCGTCTAAGGATTGCCGAGCAATTTTCCCTCAGCATTTAATCTCTTTACAGCCAGAACACATTCTCAGTTTGTGGCATCTGCAGGGTGGGATCTAAAATCGCGAAAACATCAACACTAAGAAACTCCAGAGACTTTGGTGTCCACTCTTTTAATTTACAACGTCTCAGGGTTACACTGCCGACAGCGCATTTTTTACAGAAATAATTTTTGCTATTTTTTCAGTGAACAACGAATATCTTGCAAAGTAAAAGCTGATTCTTGCTGGAGCATTATCAGTTTGGTCAATTATTTGGATAATCTCTTTGTACTGACCGAACGCCGATCGACACAGGACTGAGCTAACAGGTAAAGTTATATTTTTCTTGCTCGTCACGGCAGAGGTCTTTGGGATCGGTCGATCTCCCTTACTACAAAAACTCGAGGTTTTTCGTGAATATTCGTAAATCTTCTTGGTCCTATCGTGATGAATTTCTCGGAAACAAATCTCTCTGCTACGCCACCAGCGTTGTTATGGAGTCCTGGTTTTAAGTACTTTAGTGCGACACTTTATGTTGTTATAATCACAATGGCATTCATTGGAAATCTTTTGTCTTGTCTCGCATTTAACTTGAATGGAATCGTTCGCATTTCAGCGACGAATCATTTCATTTTTTCGCTAGCTGTGAGTGATTTGCTTACCGCGTGCTTCGCAATGCCCTTCGATCTGGAGCAGCTTTTAACTAATAATACTTGGAACCATGGAGAGGTCCTATGCCAGGTATGGACAACAGCTTACCTCCTCACTGTTCCCTCATCTATTTGGAACCTTTTGGCTGTGAGCGTGGACCGCTATAATAGCCTCCAGGACCCGCTCGACCGTTTTCGCCAGACTCCGTTCATGAGCCGTAAGCGTGCAACTCTGGTCATCCTATCGCTGTGGATTTATTCAGGGCTTTTCGCGCTTGTGCCAGTCTTAGGCTGGAAACGAGTCTCCCAAAGCGTAACTGCACTCGGTTTTTGTGACTTCAACATAACTACAGAATATTCTTTGTTGAGCTCCTTGGCGAATTTCATCTTGCCAACCGTCTTTATGTGCGCGCTGTACTGGAGAATCTACAAAATTGCAAACGGTCTAAGTAGGCAAGAGACGCTAGATCCTTTGCAGAATTCACCTTACACGGGAAGAAAGTCGGCCAAGAGGCTGAAACGGCGGATCAAGACGACAAAAAACATCCTAATACTTGTGTGTGCTTTTTTCTTCTGTTGGATGCCGCACACTGTCCTCAGCATCGTCGCCATAATCATGATTGAGACATGTCAGTCATGTATAATAGCCATTCCTTTAGAGCTTTACATCGTCCTTCTTATGCTCGGATATTCAAGTTCAGCTTTGAATCCTTATTTGTATGCGCTGAAAAATAAGCAGTTCAGAAATGCCTTCTCTAGGCTTGCCTCTGCGTTCCGTTGCAAGGTCACTCTGCGGATACCTTCATCTATTACATCCGGGAATCAAAAGTCTAGTAAGTTACTGCCAAACAACAGTAACGGACAGAGCACGCTAACCCGAACCACTACTCTGTAAACTGGGCTGCCTGTGCTGGCTCAGCGTGGTTCTAATCAAAAGTCTAGTAAGTTACTGCCAAACAACAGTAACGGACAGAGCACGCTAACCCGAACCACTACTCTGTAAACTGGGCTGCCTGTGCTCGCTCAGCGTGGTTCTAACCAATTTATGGCGGAGCAATCGTGTTTTCCAAAGGTTGCTTGTTCAGATTTTAGTTTTCCACTGTGTAAACAATTCTGATTCACAAAAACCGGGAGTGTGAGTTCTCATTTTATCACGAAGATTAGAAAGAAGTAAAGTATTCGAGAAAATGTACCTTCATTGTAAAATAAGTAACATTTATCATAGTTAACTGTGTGGTGCAATTCAAAAGCGCTTCAGATACGTTATGAGAGCAACACTAAACACTATTTTCAAACTATATTCTCAAACACTTCACGAAAGGTATCTAATATTATATAAATGTATCTACAATTATAAACAATAAATGGCAAACGCGCATCATTAAATCTCCACGGTTAAGTCTGGCGACAGTCTATTTCATAATTTGCATGTCACGCAAACATTTCATTGGAGCGAAGATATTCGTAAAGAGGCATTGGGAAGCACTTTGACGTTCCTTCTCTGATCATTACCTAGGTACATTATCTTACTAAAAGACCCATTTGCGGGGCTGGATTATTCAATACCCGACGAATATCAATCCTGGGTAACGGCAAACAAAAGTTATACGTTGCCATGCAAATAAAATCAGGATTAGAGCTAATCCTGGCAACTATGCCTGGGAGAAAGAGATTAACAGAATACTGGGAAAATTTAAGTTTTTTCTTATAGAAGAAAAAAATTGAAAGGTGTGGTTTTCTGTGAGGTTGCAAACAACTGAGAAATTCATTACGTGTAAAAGCCTTCACTAGTGCTCTATTTTTAGTGAATCGAGGAGAAAGTTTACAAACAAACACAGAGAACTGAATGATTGTTGTCACTTTGAAATGATAACAAATACCCGCTAGACAATATAATCGTAGACACGAAAATTAATGGTGAAAGCGCTCATAAATCAAACATTGCAAATTGCATATCCTTTGATAACAACTGGGCGAGAGATTGCAATGCGATTTCACACTTATAGAAAAACATCAAAACACTTTAAATTTTTTGGAAAGTTTTGAATAACTGTCGTACACAAAAGCTTTCACAACGACTTCCAAAATGTCCCATCGTTTTGTTTCATATAAATCGTGTAACACAAAACTTTCCATAGATAAAACGAAAGTAGTTTTTGTTTAATGTTATTTGACCGTTAGGAATTGAAAGTCTATTTAAGCTTGAGTATTTTTCAGTCCTTCAGAGGGCATCCTAGATATTGTAATTATTTTATAGCCTGTTATAACTGTCGTGATAATCTCGCTTCTAAATGTTTATGCTAAAGTCGTAGATGAAATATGTAAGTCATAATTAGTGTAATGATGCGTGCGTAATTATGGAATAGTGACCTTTGTTCTGGTTTGACTTTGTCAGGAACAGTCAGCTTAAAACTAGTAACAGACCTATTCACGACTATGGCCCCGGCCATGGTGGTGAATTGGACTTTTACTAGTACCGCGAAGAAAGTATGTAAATAAATAAATAAATAAAGTTACATTCATTTACATTTCAAAGAACTGACATTACCCACCGTCCAAGAACCGAAGTAAATTCAACAAACGATGGAAACATAGTTTAACAATCTTTAAAACTGTCTGGTGTAAGAGAAAATTTTGATGGATGTAATATCAGGTGCACTCCTCTGACGCCAGTTAATGGCAACGGTGAAAACAATAACTGATGACGACCTTCTCTTGATAATGCACGTTTGAAAAATTTCCACTTAGCGTTGTTTGAATTTGACTGCAGAAGACTCTTTTTCATATTTCAAAAAACAGGTGACTGGTTTAAATAAAATGATGTCTGCATCCTTTCCTTAAGTTGTTTAATCATTCGATGCTCTTATGAAAGTATTTCAACTTGGAGTGAAATGATATATATCAGAAAAAAAAAAACTTCTAAAGTATAAAGTACAAAAGAATTTAAACCACTGTTGTTAAGAGGCTTGAATTGAACCAATATCGATTGTGTCACGGAATACGTTCAGGTAAGAGTGTTTTAAACTGTTCTAAAAGTAAACGAGCTCTTTCCTGTCAAGAACCTGAGAGATTTTAAGGGAACTTTCGTAAAGAGCAGAGGAATCTTAAACAATCAAGACAATTCACTGCAACCAGTCTTTCCCTCTTGTTGTTAGAGAAACATGGGAACTTGCCAGTTCTAGTCACTTAAGGAAGATATTGTTTTTCAATATAAGCCTAGGGTACATCATTTATTTCTTTTTCGGCGAGCTGTGCGTTTTTATCAACGCAATGAGTCAAAAAAGAGAATAAAAGAGGTCAAAAGATATATCTTGTAATGTTTGCGAGGTACACACACTTTAGAGGATGCAAATAGGAAGTAACCGGAATCCAACTGTTTGCAATCTTCATTCTTGAGAACAAAGGAACTTTGAAGAGTGCTCTCACGTAATGGAATCTGACCATTAATTAGCAGAGGTGTGTTTCCCGTTTACTCCCATTAGATCGTGCTGTTGTCGTGTCCTATACAACACTCTTCAGCGGGTGCTCGCACGGTTTGGAAAAAAATGAACCGCTACGCAACCAATGCTTCGGATGAAGCTTATAATAGCACTTTACAATCCCCAGTGGGACCTCAGGGATATTTAAACTTTTCTAAGGGATTCACCGTATTCATAGTGACTGCTTTTCTTGTTATTATGGTAGCGGCAATCATTGGTAACACTCTGGTTTGCACAGCAACACTTTTCAGCCCAAGCTTGCGAAAAGCCAACACAAGTCTTTTTATCGCATCTCTAGCCGTGTCTGATCTTCTTGCAGCGATTTTAGTGATTCCATTTGACGTCTATGTCATTCTCAACAACGGACTGTGGTTTCATCGTGAAGCAGCTTGTAACCTTTGGACCACTGCGTACCTGATGACTATTCCTACTTCGAATCTCACTCTGCTGGGCTTGAGTATCGACCGGTACCTCACCTTAAGCCAGCCTCTGAAGCAGTTCCGCAGCGGAAAGGTTGTAACAAGAAGTCGCATCGCCGGCTGCGTAACAGCTCTATGGGTGTACTCCCTCGGTTTTGCCATTTTACCTATGACGGGTTGGACATTATGGCGTTTTAGAACGAACAGCGTCAACGGTAGTATCTGTTTTTTCAACGGTTCTCTCTTATACAACATCTTGGTGTCTGTGCTGCACTTTATTGTTCCATCTTTGGCTATGTGCGTGATTTATATCATGATCTATGGCCAGATTCGTCGCCACACCAGTAGAGCTGTTCGACCTATTGATTCCCCAGTGGCGCAGAACACCCAAGCAAACCTCCTGCTCCAGAGGAATATCAAAGCGGCTAAGCGGATTGCGGTAATTGTAAGCGTTTTCCTGCTGTGCTGGGTGCCTTACAGCATTCTTAGCATTATTGGTAACCTGTGTCAGGAGTGTCTTCTTGACATACCACAAGAAGCCTTTTATGTCACTCTTATCGCCGGCTATCTGAACTCTGCATTAAATCCTGTACTTTACTCATTCAACAACAGAAATTTTATGGACTCTTACTGGAGATTATTCAGAGCGATCAGACGAGGACTGGGAAGATTTGGCGGTATAAAATAAGAGATATTTCTCAATCCAGAAGGAGAGTTTAACAGGATTCTGACTCAGACTTTTTAATTTTCTCCTATAAGTAAGTGGATTGCGAAGAATTTACTAAACAAAGTGAGAGATAATCCTCAATCCAAATGGAGGGTTAAGCGACTTTCAGTCGAACACTTTACCATATTCTCCTGTAATGTAATCCTGTAATCGAGTTTA